AAGAAAACTGAACTGACATTATGCTCGGTCTAGCCAAACCAACTTGATTAGGCCTATCATTCTTTCCATGCCGGAGAGTATCAAAGCAAAATATTCAAAGAATTCAGGTGACAAATTTCTAAATTCTAATATTGAAATGAAACGGCGCCATGCCACTAATTTATTACCTTCTGTTAAATTATAAAAAAATTTTGAGTGCATATTAGCGTGGGTAAGATTTTTAATTTTATGGTTGCTTGCTTGAGCATATATCTAATTTAAATCAATTTTAAAATTTTCTAAGAAAACAATATTTCTTTGAATTCGAGCTGTATGGGGTGAATTTTATATTTTGCATGGAAAAATATTTTTTTTCTCTATTGGCCCTCCTGAAATGTTCGTTCCTGTATTTTAGATACACACAAAGATAGATATTTTCTTAAACATTTATGCTTCGAAAACATCTTTCCGAATGTTACACATTTTTATGTATTGTTTATAATAGTTGGTGTTTACAGAATATTGCTGCTTTGAATGAATTTACATAATTAATGGAAATTTTCAATGGCTAAACATTCCAATTTAAATTTTTTCCACACGTAGTTTGGCGCCCAATAGTGAACTTTGTATCGCATCAGATACTCGTATGAAATTTAAAATGCCGCTTTATTTCGAACTGGTTTCAAAATTTTCTCAACGAACTGGTTCGTGGCAAAGAGTAAATCTCCATAGGATTTCCATAAAAATAAACTAAATATCCAAACAGCGCTACTAATTGCGTTCAGTCACTTGTCTGGCGTCGTAGTTGAGTTGTAATCCATAACTGTTTTTTTTTTATTTTTTTGGATTGGTGAATGATTCAGATTTTATTTAACAGTCTAGCACATGCATGAGATGTGTGAACTAAATAATAGTCATGTTTTTTTTAATTTATTGATATTTTTAATTTCTCCAGTATATTTCTTCGGCACGACCCAAAATGTGCTTCATTGAAATAATGCATTTACAAAACAATCTCCAAATCTCAACCTCAGATACCAACAGTGATCTTAATATCAAATTTCAGGATTTTAGCTCTGTAATTTCACTCATTACGAAATTTAGTACCATTTTGTAAAATTATAGTACGCTTGTCCAAAACAGTGAGAAAACACATTTTCTCAACCACAGACACCAACAGTGACATGCATATCAAATTTAGTACCATTTAGTACAATTACAGTACGCATATTCAAAGTCAACTCCTTCTCCCAATCACAGATACCAACAATATCAATTTTTAGGATTTCGGTTTTATCCCATCACCCAATATCAAATTTTGGGATTCCATATCAATTTGCCCAATAACCTATTGAGTACCACTTAGTACTTTAAAAACAATTATAGTACACATTTAAAAAATACCACCTCCATATCTTAACCACAGACACCAACAGTGACATTCATATCAAATTTCTCCTTCACACAATACTAAGTTTAGTACTTTTCGTATAATTATAGAATTTCCAAAATCACCTCCATATCTCAATTCCAGATACGAACAGAGACCTCAATATCAAGTTTGAGTATTCCATTCCTATCTCTTTACCTCATGCCAAATATTGTACTTTTTTACAATTATAGTACATATTTCCGATACCAACTCCATATGTGCAGGTTACACATAAAAATGACCCAAATACCAAATTTTATATTTCATGTACTATTAGTTCTCCCAATGCCAAATTGTACCAAATAAAGTACTATTCAGAACTTTTCCTGCACTTCTAGTACAAATTTCCAAAACCACATCTATATCTCAATCCCAGATACGAACAGAGACCTTAATATCAAGTTTGAGGATTCCATTCCTTTCCCTTCACCCAATACCAAAAATTGTACCATTCAGTACTTTTTGTACAATTATCAGCACACATTTCCGAAACCAGTTTCATATCTTAATTCCAACTATATATCTCAATTCCAGATACCAACAGACCCTCAATATCAAATTTTGAGATTTCTCAATATCAAATTTAGCACATTCCGTACAAATATAGGACGTATTTCCAAACCACCAACAGTAATCTAAATATCAAATTTCAGAAATTTATCTCAATTCTAGGTGCCAAAAGAGACCTCTATATTAAATTTTAGAATTCCAGGCCTAACCCTTCACCAAACACCAAATTTAGTACCATTTCATACAAATATAGGACGCATTTTCAAACCCCCGACAAATATCAAACACAGATACCATCAGTAATATAAATAATAAATTTCAGAAATTTATCTCTATCCCTTCGTCCAATAGTATTTAGTACTTTTCGCAATTGTAATACACATTTTCGAAACCAAGCCCATATGCCCAGGCTAAGCATGGACAGCGCCCCTAATACCAAATTTCAGATTTCAACCACTATCTCTTCGTCCAATAATAAATTGTACGAAATATAGTGCTATTTAGTCCTTTCCGTGCACTTATAGTAGATATTTCTAATACCGCGTCTTTGACACAAACCAACCATCAACAGGGACCACAATATTGAATATCAAAATTCCAGCTTCTTCTGTTCACTCTAAACCAAATTTTGTACCATTTAATACAGTTCGCACACTTAGTATATATTTCCAAAACGAAATTCGTATATGGAACTTGACCATATATGGAACTTGACTGCCAAATTTCAAATTTTTAAATGGTACCATTTGAACGCATAAATGGTACCATTTAAGTTTAGTATCATTTTAGAATTTTTCGTAAACTTAAAATTGACACATTCCGAATTTTAGAATTTTAGCTCATCCGTTTGTCCAATCAAAGTATTACATTTTTAGCACATTTTAGTTCTTATCGGATCCTTTTAATACGAATTTCCAAAAACCCAGCCTAATCACACGCCTATGCACCAATACTGACCCTCGTGCAAAATTTCAACATTCTAGCTTCATTCAACTAAGTTGAAAACCCTCCTATTGTAGTCATCCCATATTCTTTCCGATGTTGTGAATTCGCACAAATATTTGTTGTTTAGTGTAATAAACAAAAATATTATTAAAATTAAACTTTTAATGCACAACATACTTGTAAGAGTCGATTTATGGCATTTGGTCTCAATCAGTGTGATGCCTGAAAGTATGCTTTCATTTTCAAGTCTTCAGTTTTTCTGTCATTAACTTAAAATTGTGATTATAAAATGCACAAATATTTGTTAGGGAGCGGATAAAATAGAAGAAAATTCGTGATCAGCGTAAAATTCTAAGACAATTTATCCATGTCCGCCCGTCTATTCTAATCACGCTAAAGTCAAAACGAATAAAGTTAGGAAGCTTAAATTTTGCACCGATCTGTCTTTTATCTGCAGACAGGTCAAGTTCGGTCCACGATATCGTATATCCCCCATATATCGGTATTTTGATGATTTTAGCAACATTTTTCAATGGAATAGTCTGAAATCCATAAGTTTTTTTGGCTTAAGTTTTAGTGCAGCGCCCATATAACGCTACCCCGAAATATTCGGCATTTCGTCAAATTGCGTCAAATTTCGTATTTGAAGTATGTGATGGGTACTACAACCTATGACGAAAAATTGTCTATGCAGATCTACGTCTTAGTATAGCCCCCATACAACGGTACCTCCCTTTATCTGGTATTTAAATGATATTAGCGACAATATTCACCGGAATTGCGTTAAATTTCGTATTTGAAGTTTATAATCGTTACTACAAAATATCAGAAAAAATACTTATCAAGCACCATGTCTTCGTATATATAAAGGTTTTAATTTGAGAGGTATTTTCGACGATTTTTTTATTTTTTAATAATTTCCGAATTTTGAAGGGCACAAAAAGTTTGGCCAGGCCAAATTTATACATCTTAGTATAAGATTGTGAAAAGTAATGAAGAATCAGGGACTTGCTTCTTGTTCAAAAAATATGAAATGAAAAATATTTCCTCTATGAAATTTTCCTTTGACATTTCTTTTGAGCTCCAGTGTTGGTTTCGAAATGCGAATTTATGATATTTCTGCTTTTCCCGAATACTGGCTATGTTTTTAATTTCTTGGATTATATGTCATATTAATGACGAATCTTCATAAAACGCATAATTAGGATGTCGGTATAAAGTACACTTTGGCACTCTTTAAACAGAACGTGAAAAATCCAAATTGGAATTCAAATGATCCAAAGGATAACCATGCGGATTACCATGAATGTTTCAGAAAAAAAAAAAATAATATTTATTATATTTTGACCTCCAGTTTAGAACCTTGTGTTCATTTTCTGTAGCATGATCCAAGAATACTAAAGGCTTTAGTGGATTTTTTTATATTGACCAAATACCTGAATCATAATTAAAATTCCCCACAGTGCAATAAAAAGAAAAACCGATGTTTTTTTTTTTGATTTTTTATTTAAATTTTCATTTTGTATACAATAGCTTATTACGAGTTACACAAACGAGTTAATAAAATAGTGCGGATGAAATTATGAGTTGTTATTTTTGATTGTTTTCACTTTTCGTATAAATATCACACAAATACCATCAAAACATCATCTCTCGAGAATATAAAGACACAATATTGTTTTTGAAATAAATCAAATACATCATTGTTGCAATGGTTTTTGATTTATGGAAATTCGGATTTGTTCTGTGTGGAAATTCCTTTTTCTTCTCTCTTCATCGATTCCAAATATTGCGGTGTGTTAATATGATTTTTGAAAACTATTTAATAGATGTGATAAATATTCAATTTTTTTCATTTTTAAGAATAATTCTATGTGTTATTCTAGTTCTAATTGTGCTGTGAGAATATTGAAATGAAAAAAATAATGAGTCAAGAGAAATGCAGATATACAATTAATTACAGTGATCGATAGATCAAGCGATTGTTCGATTGTTTTTGACTGATCTTAGAACTAAAGCGACATGTAGTTTAAATTAAAGTATAATAAGAATAAAAGTTAATTACGATATGATAGTAATATTTCGAAAATGTTTAAAGTTAAAATTAAGAAGTAAAGCACTGGGTCATCTCGAGTTTTTATGGACAATCTCCGTCGCCGGTTTTCTGGTATGCTGTGAAGAGAAAGAAAAGTGCATTGAATTTTAGTTCTTTATTCTATTCCATCAATTTTTGTTAATTTTAAATGAAATTTAAATTGTCATAGATCTTTTTTGTTTAACAATTTTTGAGAACTTTTTAGAATATTTAATCTTCGTGTGAATGTCAAATACTTACAGGTCTTTCGCAAACAATTCTCTGTCTTGATTATGCACATGTTGTTGAAGGTTTTGGTATCACCGCTATCATCTGTGCCACACACTGGCTTATAGTCCTGCAGATCACAATTGAATTCACATTCCGTGTCTCCAGGTGCTGGAGCTGAGTTCACGAAAGAAATGACGAAGATGGCCACTGAAAAAAAATAAAGAAGGAAAAATTATTAATTAATTGTAAGCAATATCAAGAAAATATCTAAAATGTCGAAATCGAATATCATTCAATTAAAAGCTCAACACAGAAAGGCTTTACAATAATTATCAATCTTGAATTAAAAATTTGAGTGTCAAAAATTATGGGTTTATATACAGGGTAATATGAAAAATTTGCAACCAACTCTAGACCGCTGTCATTTCCAAGCCACTCTTCCGATAGCTGTTAAAATTATTCCAGTGACAGCTCATTATATTACTCACAAGCGTACAAAAGCATTATGGTGAGAATTTTCCGGAAAAATAGTTATTCGTGATGGAATTTAAGTGTGATTTCCTTATATTTGGCTTGAAAACCACAAGTGGCTATCTCCAGCATTTAACTGTGTGTGTTCTTTTGTGTCTAGTACCATCGCTCTTTACCGTGATACTGGTAGCCTAGCCCGACGTCAAGGAAGTGGACGGAAAAAACAGAAACATCAGCAGAAGTTGTTCAAAATAAAGATGCGACTTAATCGAAACCCGCGTCGCAGTGGCCAAAAAATGGATCGTGAGCTGAACAAATCGCAATATTCCATTCGGCGAATATTTAAAAATTAGCTCGGGGTAAAGCCATTGATATTCCTAAAAGTGCAAGAACTTACACCGCAACAGAAATAAAATAGACTCAAAATAGCTAAAGAGTTGCTTCGTTTGGCCGAAGCCGAATTTGGTTTTCTCCGATGAGAAAACATTCGTTGTCCAGCAGTTTGTAAACAAACAAAATGAGCATGTTTACTTGCCCAAGGGGTCAGCTGAAAATGTGCCCCTTCGGTTGGCCACCAGAACTCAAGCGCCGGCAAGGTGATAGTGTGGGCCGCCATAACAGCCGATGGTCGCTCTCCGCTCGTATTAATCGACTGTGGCGTCAGAATAAATGCCGAATATTATCGCGAAAATATTCTGGAGGGTGTATTAAAGCCTTGGACTCGCAAACATTTTGGCCGCAGACCTTGGACATTCCAACAGGACTCAGCACCATCGAACTCAGAACCGCCACATAAGAATGGTTACAAAGCGAGGTTCCTCACTTCATTTCCAGCGCTCAATGGCCACCAAAATCTCCGGATACCAATCCGTTGGCACCAAAAAATACCAAAGTGTCGATCACCTCAAGCAAGCGGTTCACCGGGAATGTGCCAAAATACCACAGAGCAACATTCGAGCCGCACGTGACGGTTTCTCTGGCCGTTTGAGGGCCATAATTCGTGCCAACGGTGACCAATTCGAACAAATCTAAACTTATTCTAAAATTTGTTACTATTTCCGACATTTTTTGCTTTCATTCAATAAAATTTATAATAAAAATACGTAAAAATTATGGCGTTTGACTTTGTTGCAGTTTTTTTTTTCATCTCTCCCTGTGTATACTTTGTAGGGTATATCATGAATTATTCGAGGAGTTACCCCTGTTTGGAGAAATGGGAGTCGAAGTACTCGAGTAAGAGTTTACTCTAAGAGTGGAGGATAATTTATGTACAAAAGCCCAAACCAGCAGAAACAGGAATCCGGAGGAATTTCTGTACAGCAATGCTTTCTTTCTACACATGCTCGACAATGCTATCAACGGTATGACGAAAACTCGGGTACCATGCAAGAGCGAGACTAAAATCCGTTCATATTCGAGTGAAATCGAAAAATAGAGTGTACTTGATTTTTTCTACTCCCGGAAGTCCTTACACTAGAAGTATAGCAGAGAGTGAAACATATAGGAGTATGTATTAGGAGTATTTTTCTTTTTTATTTCTCGGCCGAAATTTTGAAAAACTCTGAATCCCATACAATGGAAAACACTTGCCCACCCTCTCCTAAAAATTCCCGTGTAGTTGCTTACGCTAGGTGCAAAAAAAATTCAAAAATATTTTTCAAACTCTTAAGAATCTCAATTGTTTAAATATCTGCCAAAATGTTGGTGGTTACGAGTCGTGGCGACAAAAATTTGGGATGATTTAAGGAAATTTTTACTTCAAGGATGTCGATTTTTAAGAATATTTTTATTATTCCCTGCTCAATAATTGCGGATCCAAAAAGTTTTTGTTAAAAATATATAATTTTTTATGAATATTTCTTTCAAGGACTTTCAGGGCAAAAAGGTCATTGTGCTTTTTAAATATTTTTTGCAAAGGCTTTATGCAAGACATTCCTGTCAAAAAGTCACAAGTCATAAAGTCGCATGTTTGTATCCAAACATTTTGATTTTTTGTTAATAATTTTTTTTTATAATGGAGGTCATATCTATAGATTGTATATGATTCGTATACACACGTATATAAATAAATCATGGGTTGAGTTATTTATCCGTCTGCAAACCGTCTGATATTTTTTATAATTTGTTTTTTATTTATATTTTATAAAACAACATACTTCAAACAGAGCGCCTTCAATATTTTTTCAAAATCAACACATTAATAAAATAACGACAAAAATGTGTGAACGACAAAAAAATAGGAGACAGCTCGTCATGCATTTCTATATTTTCATGTTTATCCCGCAAAGTAGAGAAAACATAGAACGTGTTTTAGTTTTCCAAAAAACTATCAATAAATCAGCAAATAAGTTCGCAATTTCTTTTGCCAAAAAAAAAAAAAAAAAAAAAAATAATAAAACTCAAGGTTTTCAAAACGTATTGAAAATTTTCCATGGCCATTTCACTATGCGAATTCTGGGGGTTCAATGTCCGACCTCTATTTGAACGACACAGAGACAGAGAAGAACAAATATGAAACAAAATAATGTTCCAACAAATCATACGAACCCGACAACTATCAACTATAAACGTACATACATACGTACATACATATGTATGTACATGTGGATTTACGCAGATCGTTTCTAATCACAAGGCAGGCAGGCAGTCACAGGCAGCCAGGCAGGCAGGCAGTGACATGAAATGAAATCATCATCAATGAATAATTTCCTGATAAGACAGATCGAAAATAAATATCTGTCGTCAGAACGGAGAAATTTAATAAATTTTTGAAAACAATAGCTGAAAGTATTGAAATACGAAATTTGATGCAGTGGTGTGTGTGGTGGTGGTATTTCAATTTGTTATTTTGTTATTCGAAATAATTAAAACACACCCATTATTGGGATTTATGGTCGAGTTCATGGAATAAACACAAATATTTTAATGGGATTTCTGTGATTTGATTAAGTAATTACACATACGCACACGCACACATCTACATACATACACTCCTGTGTAGAAATCCTATTTGTCATGCAATCTGCTCGCAACCACCCAGAGAAGCATCATAAAAAAAAACTGCATTATTGTAGAAAGAAGCAGAAGAAGAAAAAACTGAAAACACGACGCACATGACTGCCAATGACGCACATTTTCTTCTACGACTGAATTTTGTAAACAGACCGGACCCCCAGACCTAGTGGCGGCAGGCAGCAATGCCGGAGAATTTCAATCCATGATAAATTCCCTCATCATTGGTCTCGGCTGCATTTAAATGTCGCATTATCCAATTCCATATTTTGTATTCCCAGCAGCTGATAATTACATTGTTTTTTTTGGATTTGGTGCGGAATATCAAATAGTTAAGAGTGGAAAAGATTGACAGTAGATGACTAATGGATCGATGATCTGTTTTAGAAACTATTCTATGATTTAAGGGACGTTTGGGAGTTATATGAATCATAAATTGGATCATGGTAAAATGTTTAGGGTTTGAAGAGTGAAAAGGCATAGCTATACAAAATACGCATGGAGGCAAACTAAACCAAACCTATTGAGGTAAAATGTTCCCTAACATGGTGGGTGGGTTTTTGTGGGAATTTAGGAGATATTTTGGGGCTATGGTCTTGTACTTAGGAAGTTATTTTTTACAATTCTCTCAGGAATATAGTGAAATATAGTCCTCGATTTTTAGAAATATTTTTGGAAATATTTTTGTTAACAGTATTTTTAACGAAGAGCTAATAAAACTGCAGATTTTTGGAGTATTTTCAAAATGGGGACGATCAAAATGATAGCAGTGTTCATTCGGATCGTATGAATGTGAATACTCGGAAACATCGTCATGTAGGTGGACCATCCGGCGGACACTGTTATGAACCCAGAGTAACTAATATGAGACCGAACAAAATAATGCGTGTAAAAAAAACAAATCGTAGCTTTGCCTCTTCCTGAGCCCAACAGATGTCCTTCATATGTCTAAAAGTGTCCTTCATATATATAAATTTATGGAATTTTTTAAGAGACTCTAAGGGTTATTATTACCAATTGGTAATGCAAGCTATTATTGTCGATTTTGAGGAGAACTTTGGATAGGCTGATATCTCAATAATCATGGCTTTTTAGCATAATCTTGAAATGTCAGGATTATTTTGAAGGGACTTTCGTGATTGTTATTGTGAATTTTTTAGGGAATGTTTTGGGGGTGGGGGGCTATGACCCATAATCGTGGGGTTTTAGATAAAATTAGGAGAGTTTATGGTCATGGATTTTTGACGGAATGCTAGAAGAGGCTTTAGGCTATAATAATTGTTTCAGGGATAAAATAATTGTTTCAGGGATAATAAGGCTGAAATCGTGAATATTTATGGTAGTATGAAGCTGTCCGTTTCAGGGGTAAAGTGCTCACAAAGAACTCCGTGTGTGGATTTTCAGACAATACGATTGGTAAATGTGGCTAAAATCATCAAAATACCGAATATCGCGGGGAATAGTTATATGGGAGCTATAAGTTATCGTTAACCTATATAGAGAATTCTCTGTCGGGGGGTAAAGTGCTCACAAAGAACCCCTTGTGTTCAAAGAACCCCTTGTGGTCATTCCGTTGAAAAATAATAAAAATATCAAAATACCGAATATCAGGGGTACCGTTATATGAGGGCTATACGATATCGTGGACCTATATAGATAATTCTCTGCCGAGGTATAAAGTACCCACAAGGAACTCCTTGTGTGGATTTTCAGACAATTCTGATGAAAAATGTGGGTAAAATCATAAAAATGCCGAATATCGGGGGGTACCGTACTGTATAGACAATTCTCTCTCAGGGGGTGAAGTACTCACAAGGAACTACTTGTGTGAATTTTAAGACAATTCCATTGAAAAGTGTGGCTAACATCATCAAATGGTTTCAAATTTAGTATTTGAAGTTCGTAACGGAAAATTGTCTGTGCAGGTCCACGACTTCGTATAGTCCCCATATAACGGTACCTCCCGATATTCGTTACTTTGATGATTTTAGCGACATTATTCAACGGAATTGTTTCAAATTTGGTATTTGAATTTCGGAAAGGATACTTCAGCCTAAGACAGACAATTGTCTGTGCAGGTTCACGTCTTCGTATAGCCCCCCATATTCGGTATTTTGATGATTTTGGCGACATTATTCACCGCAATTGTTTCATATTTAGTATTTGAAGTTCGTAACGAAAACAATTGTTTCAAATTTGGTATTAGAGGTTCGTAATGGATACTACAGCCTATGACAGAAAATTGTCGTATATCCCCTATAAAATGGCACCTCGCGATATTTGGTATTTTGATGATTTTAGCGCTACTATTCAGCGGAATTGTTTGACATTTTGGTACTTGAAGTTTGTAATGGATACTACAGCCTATGACAGTAAATTGTCTGTGCAGGTCCACGTCTTCGTATAGCCCCCATATAACGGTACCTCCTTATATTCGGTATATTGATGATAATTGTTTCAAAATTGGTATTTGAAGTTCGCAACGGATACTACAGTCTAAGACAGAAAATTGTCAGTGTCAGGTCCATCTCTTCGTATAACGGTACCTCCCAATATTCGATATTTTGATGCTTTTAGCTACATTATTCACCGATTTTTTTTTTAAGTTTCGCATTTGAATATTGTATGCGCTCATGGCAAAAGTTACCTATGCAGGTCCACGTCGTCGTACAGACCCTAATATAACGGCTACATTCGGTATTTTAGTAATGTTTTAACAGAATTTTTAACAGATTTTATTTTTTTAAAAATCGAATCTTTTAAATTTGGCAAAAATTGACCAATATTTCAAAATGTTTTTTTTATAAATCAAATTACTACACTGTGCAACAAAATCCATGTGTGATGGAGAAATCAAAACTTCAAACAAAAAAAAAAAATTAAACATTTTCCACAAAGCGGAGTTTTTCTGCACTCTTAAAGTATGGCAACATAATATCATTCTTTTTGGGAGGAAAAGTCATTGGCGTTATTATGTCTGAAAAATTAACCACCGGCTAATTGGCATTGTTAAAGATTTTATGTTCCCGTAAAAGGCGGATAAAACATGGAAGGTCGGTTATTGTTCTCAAAAAGAATTATAATTCCCTAATATTATTTTTTTTATGTTTGATCCATTTTTAACATTAAGTTCTAGAAATTTTCCACCATTAGATCAATGTGTGGGTCTCAATATATTTTGTCATTTTTAGTCCAATAGTTCATATTTTTCAACTTTTTCAATTTTTTATTTCGAAAACTATTATTTTTCTGCAGATGGTTAATTCACATATTTATATCATTCAATTCAACAAAAAAATGTATATTTTGTTTTTTTTTTTTTTTTTATAATGCACTTCTGAAACAATCGATACTTACTGGCCAAGAATAGGGGAAACAGCTTCATGTTTATGCCTCTTTGTGGTAACACAGTAATCCAAATTCGAAATCAAGAGATAATCCAAAAGGTTTCGCCGCTCTTCTTCTTAATTTTTCAGAGGAAAATTTTATTCCAAAAAATGGGTCAAACACCACGATAATTGAGCACAGCGAACACTTTTTACAATGCGACACTTAATCTCTGGGTAAATACTTTTTGTTGGTTTCTTTTTTTTTCTTCTTTTCTTTAACACTCTTCGAGTGATTAAACAAAAAATTTAAATGTTTTAAAATCGTATTTTTTATTTTTAAAAATTGTGTTTTTTTTTTTATTTATTTCTTAAAAATGATTTTGAGTTTTACACGTTTTCATTCAAGAAATTGAATTTTCGAAATGGATTTGAAATGAAAATATTTTTTCAAGAGTGGCGCGCGCGAATTCTTTCCGAATCATAAAACATACACGAATCACAGCAAATTGCAAACTGATCGAATCGATTCAAACCAAAAAGCCGACAACTGACTCTGGCCGTTTTGTTGGCTGATATGACCGACCGACAACGACGACAGCGTTGCCTGCCTCAAGAGAACGTTGTGGCTGGCTGTGTGTGGGTCTCTGTGTGTGCTGGTCTGGTGGTGACGATGATGGATGGTGGCTGCCACGAAACCTTCGGCCAGCCAGTCCGGCAACATAAAACGAAAGCAGCGAAATTACTTGAAAATTATGGATTTCTGTTGCTGTTGTTGTTGCTGCTGCTGTGATTTTCGTCGTCAGCAAGTCAAGAGTTCCAATGGACACCAAACCAAAGTGTGTAGAAAGTTCAAACGAGTGCCGATGATGGCAAGATTCGCCACGTATTTTCTGGATGGGTGGGTAACGTGAGACGTAAATCGTTTTGCCAATGGCATCCAAAGATTTGTGGATATCCTACCTCAGTGGAGCATCATCACGTAGCCCAAAAACGAAGAATTTCTTCTTTTTTTCTTGTTAAGGTTCAGTTAGAAACAGCATTGATTGCGGGTTCACTCGTCCATAAAGCATTGATGGCCTGGCGAATGGACTTTTTTTGTATTTTTATTTTAAGCTCTTTTTTGGTGAAATTGATAAGCAATGAGATCACCTTTGCTCTTAGCGGGAATCTTAAGGACCTTTCAAATAACTGCCACAAAGCGGTTTAAATCTCTGTTCGAGATTTGCGTGCGACTGTGCCAAGCTTGCCGGTTTTATAGTCATCTCACAGCACAACCACCTCCACCTAACGACTCGTTCATCGGCTAACCAGCCGATGGTGCTGCACGTACGCCACGATACGAGCGATCTTCACACAGGCGGCATATGTTCATGAATAATGTATGGATGAATGTGTTTGCCACACAAGAAGATGTCGGAAGAGTCGTTGCCTTCGTTGCGGCGATTTTCCATTTGGGAAACTGTAGCTGAGTGGGCTAAATAAATCAAGATATGCTAATCCATTCTGTTTTCACAAAAATTCCTTGCAATCTGGGAAATTTCTACAAAAGAAAGGTTGCTCTAAGCCAGGTAAGAAAGAATTCCTGGAAATTTGATTATGAAGGTATACCATCAAATGTGTCGATATAAAAAATAAGTAAAATAGTATCGGTTTTGCCGACAGATTTATACCCCCAGCCTTGAGTTAAGATTATCCCAACTTTTGACCTTTCATGGGGCATGACGGACATCGCTAGATCGACTCTAAATGTCCAGAAACGGATTTGGTTCAAAGAGACCTAGGGTCTTAAACCTTTATTTCGATGAGGCACGTTTTGGCCGTATCGAATGATATATACCCTCTCTAGTTATATGGCTGAGGGTATAATTAATTAAATTTTCTTTTAAAATAATATTTTTTCAAATTATTTCTATTTTCTTTCACAAATTTTTAAATTTGAGTCACTGAGAGTTTGCGAAGTCTTACGGAGAACATTTCCTCTATGAAAAATTTTTAATTTGATTATCTGATTTTTAGTAATAGTCTCGGCAGTAGTTTTTAAATAATTTTTATTGGATATTACATCGTATCTCATATTCATAAACTGGTGTAATCAATTTAGTTATTTAGCTCTTAATATAATTGTTATTCAATGTTTTATTCCACAGGAGACAACATATTTTCAATTGTTTTAATATAATCTCAAAGAAATCACATCCTTCATATACTCCTCTGAAGTGTCAAAAGCGACTAATGTCTATAGAATAGCATATGACACATTTAATGATTTGAGATTTCCAAATTATTAAAATTTCCTGAGAATTCAAGCATCTGGATTTTTAGTAGGTTCAGGTAGTCATTGGACGGCAATGATGAAAGGATTTTCCAATGGGAAATTTTCCATGACCGTATTATCGCTAATCATGGAAAGTCCAACTAAAGGCTTCACCAGAAATAGAAGAACGCAGTTGACATCAATTAAAAAAATCACTCAAAACCAAAACACTGTGCAACACAAAAAACAAGTAAAAGACATTTAGTTCGAACTTTGACTACCTGTTCCATTTAAACTACAAAATCCAGTAAGACCGTTTGGATAATGCAGCTCAACTTTTCAAAAAATCATAAACCCATTGCGAACTACAAATAAATACCAAGGTACCGTTCCATGGGGGCTATACATTTTTGCCCTACCGGATCTAGAAACCATTATGAACTACAAATACCACTTTTTAGACAAATCCGTGGAAAAATGTGGCAAAAATCTTCAAAATACTGAATATCCGAAGGTACCATTATGTGGGGCTATACAAAAAACGTGGACAAATACATACAAAGTTTCGCCATCGGAGCTTAAAAACTCGTTATGACCTTACAAGTTCCAATTTTTAGACAAATCGGTGAAAAAATATTGTAAAAATCATGAAGATACCAAATATCGGGAGGTACCGTAATATGTAATACCAATCATCCTAGACACAATACAAATTGTTCTGCCAAATTTTGACTTGGAAAATTTTGAATCACGAATTATGGCCTTCAAACGGCCAATGAAACCGTCACCCGCTGCCCGAATGTCGGTCTGCTGTATTTTGGCCCATTAACGGCGAAGCGCTTGCTTGAAGTGATCGACACTTTGGTATTTTTTTTTGCCAATCTTGCTTTCCAAAATACTCCTGCCACAGCTGAGTGCGATGGTGCTGAGTCCTTTTGGAATGTCCAAAGTCTGCGGCCAAAATGTTTGCGTGTCCAAGGCTTTAATAATTAATTAATATTTTCGCGAAACTATTCGGCATTTATTCTGATGTCACGGTCGATTAATTCGAGCGCAGAGCGACCATCGGCTGTTATGGCGGCCCACACCATCACCATAGCCGGCGCTTGAGTTCTGGTGGCCAAACGAAGGTGCACATTTTCATCTGACCTCTTTGGTAAGTAAAGACGATCATTTTGTTTGTTTACAAACTGCTGGACAACGAATGTTTTCTCATCGGAGAAAACCAAATTCGGCTCTTTTGAGTCTATTTTCTTTCTGTTGTGGTGTAAGTTCTTGCACTTTTTGGAATTTCAATGGCTTTACCCCGAGCTTATTTTTCAATATTTGTCAAATGGAATATTGCGATATGTTCAGCTCACGAATCGATCAAGTAGCTTCTTTACTTTTCGAACGATTTCTGCTGATGTTGCTGTTTTCTTCCGTCCATTTCCTTTACGTCGGGCTACGCTATCAGTATCACGGTAACGAAGATTTATTCACATTTAAATGCTGGAGTGCTCTAACGATAGCCACTTGTGGTTTTCCAGCCAAATATAAAGAAATCACACTATCACGCTTGAATTCCATCACGAATAACTTTCTTCCATGAAAATTCCCACCAGAATGTTTTTATACGCTTGTAAAGAATATAATGAGCTGTCACTGGAATAATTTTAACAGCTGTCGGGAGAGTGGCTTAGAAATGACAGCAGTCGGTAGTTGGTTGCACTTTTTTCATCTCACCCTGTATAGGTCCACGAAATCGTACATCTCTTATACAGCGATTCCTACCGATATTCGGTTTTTTGATTATTGTAGGCAAATGTTTCTATGGAATTGCATGAAAATCCACACAAGGAGTTCCCTGTGTGTACTTTACCCCCAGGAAGACAATCGTCTATATAGGTCCATGTTTAAGTATAGCACCTATATAATGGTACCTCCAGATATTGGGTATTTCCATGATAGTAACGACATTATTCACCGGAATTGTTTTGAATTTCGTATGTGAAGTTCGGAATCAGTACTACAGCTTATGACAAAAAATTATTTATGCAGCACCACGTCTTCGTATAGCCCCCATACAAAGGTTTTCATTTGAGCGAAAATTTTCGACGGAATTTTTTTTTTGAAATAGTTTAAGTTCCTTTCGAATGGTAGCAGCATAAAATTCTATGTCCGTCCATCTGTGGACATCAGTCTAGCTTCCGAACAAGATTGATAAAATTTTACTCAAATGAATATTATGTCTGCAGGACTTTTGGTATTGAAAATGAGCCATGTAGGTCCACGTTTTGGTATAGCCCTCATATAACGGTACCTCCCGATATTCGGTACTTTGTTGATTTTAGCGACTAAATTCACCAAAATTGTTTCAAATTTGGCATTTGATTTTCGTAATGGATGCTACAGCCTATGACAGAAAATTGTTGGTGCAGGTCCACGTCTTCGTATAGCCTCCATATAACGGCACCTCCCGATGTTAAGTATTTTGATGATTTTAGCCATATTATTCACTGGAATTGTTTAAAATTTGGTGTTTGAAGTTCGAATTGGGTACTACAGCCTATGAAATCCAAAACAATGATCTAGGACGTGCACACTCTATAACACCGTTTTACATTACTTGGTAATTCATTACTTGATAATGAACCTTTGGACAATTAAAGTGTTTAAACCCTAATTTTCCGTTCCTTAATTAAAATTTAAAAAATTCTCGTCGTTCGAAGATTTAAAGTTTCGAAAATAGAATAATTTGGAATAACTGGAGCTGTTATCAATTAATCAATCTTTTTTCAAAGTACAAACACACGTGCGCACTTAAGTACAAACATATAAATCTAATATTTGATTAAAACTACTCGCTTATTTTCAAATCAAATACTCATTATCTGAGTGATGGCTGCTGGAAGTCGCTGTGTCATCTCATTGGACACGCTGTGATTGGTCAATTGTGGCGTCATCCTTTCATCGTTTGTCAAATCAAAAATAAAAAAACACAATTATTTTCAAATCTAAACAAATGAAATCGAATCTTCTGTATAATAAATATGTACATAAGTGAATATTTCAATCCGAACGACGTGGTGACGTGAATTATCAACTACGAAATTCCTTTTGCCACATGTGGCCTGCTTTTCGGCTGAGGTTCCGTCAGTAAGTCTGTCGATATTTTTACGCACCCATTAATTGTTGTTTATTTTATTATCAGTTGGGGTTATTTAATTGTTGTTGTAGTTGTTATTGGCTGAAAACGCGTAATGATCTTGTAGTACTTTGTGCAAAATAGAATTGAAATTTATTTTAATGATTTCAAATAGTTTTGGGTAATTAGGGGCGGGTACAATGGAATGGGTTGGAAAATGTAATAGAAAAATATATATTTTTTTCAATTTTTAATTATTAATTGGAGATTATTTTTTAACGTCGGTGTCCCAAATAATGATGTTCTATTATTTTTATACTCTCCATCATAGCATGGAGGGTGTATAAAGTTTATCATTCCGTTTGTAACACCTCGAAATATACATTTTTGACCCCACAAAGTATATATATTCTTTATCACCATAAAATTCTATGTCGATTTAGCGATGTCCGTCCGTCTGTGGAAATCACTCTATCTTCCGAACGAAATGAAGTAGGTTTATAAAATTTCACTCAAATTGGTATTATGTCCGCAGGACTTTTGATATTCAAAATGGGTCATGTAGGTCCACGTTTTGGTACCTCCCGATATGCGGTATTTTCATGATTTTAGCGACATTATTTAACGGAATTGTTTCAAATTTGGTATTTGAAGTTCGTATTGGGTACTTCAGCCTATGACAGAAAATTGTCTGTGCAGGTCCACGTCTTCGTATAGCCCCCATATAACGGTACCTCCCGACATTCGGTATTTTGATGATTTAGCGACATTATTTACCGGAACTATTTCAAATTAGGTATTTGAAGTTCGTAATGGGAAACAGAATACTATAACTATATAACAGAAAATTGTC